TTTTTTTTTTTTTTTTTTTTTTTTTTTTTTTTTTTTTTTTTCTTTCTACTTTTGGCTTGTAAAGCTCATTTTTTATTGACTACTCTTAGAGTTTTGTATTACTCAAAAAAATGATTGCACCTCTGATAACACACACGAGTACGAGAGAATCTACTGATTTTTTTTTTTTTTTTAGGAAAGAAATGGCCTCTCTACAAGACAACATAAAATTATTATCGAGTAAATTCAAGGAGTCTCTAGCAGGTACGTCGATCCCGGGTGTAAAAAACTTGATGTAACGAAAAAGAAAAAAAACCATTGCAGGAGAACTCGACAAAACAACATCGCCGTCGAAGCAACAGGAGCTCGACAGTGGCAACAACGTCCACTGCGATTCAGACCTCAAAGCCCAGTCAAAAGCCGTGGAACTTACGGACACCGGCGACGCTACGGCTGAGCAACCGATCGCCGAGCACCAGGACCCGAATCGCCAAAAGTTCTCCGAGCAGCCTGCAGACAACCACGGGGACGACTACACGAATAAATTAAATTATAGCCAGTACGACGAGTGCGATCCGAACCAGTATCCGGAATACTTTAGCGAGCAACAGTTTAGCGAGAACCCACAGTACGACCAGGGCCCACAGTATTTAGACGAGGAGCCGTATAATCCGACTAATCACAAGGACCACGTCGCGCAACAAGATCAATAGCCTAGGTGTAATATCAATACATTATTATTATTATTATTGTCATTGAAAAAGCATTTTTCCACTAAATTGTGTCGTTGTCTTTTTTTATTAATTTTATGATTGAATCATTAACCGTCGATTGTTATTGCAATAAAAAAATTATATTGTATCGGAAGAACAGCTGTGTTGGGTTATTTGAAAATTTACCTGCTTCGCGCGCTTTTCGGTCGGTGATTGGTGCTGCTCCCTACAGTGTAGCTACAGGGACTAATTGACTAATAAAAGTCGTCTGCACTTACGGTCTATTTTAACGACAGCTGTAGCTAACGCTTTCTCTTGGAAAAACAAAATTTATAACTTTTATATTATCCGTAAAAGTAAGTATTTGTGCAAACAATAGGAACACCAGTACTCGGTCTGTACTTTGAACGGTTAGGTAACTTTTGCTTCAAATGTAAAGTCATTATCTTGCACTACTAAAGTTTTAACCTCTCTAGAAAAACTACACCACCAACTATTGTTGAGAGAGAAAAACCACTTGGATTTAGAACAATTTCAGTGAGTTTGTAATTTTTCGAAAACGTAAGTAGCACTGTGGCTTACTTATAGATTGATATAATGCGACGCGCTGTGAACAATCTCGCACTTTCGCTATCCGAAATACCAATAAAAACCTTCATCAAAGAGACAAACGCTGAGCCTAGCCTTGAGGAAAAAAAACATAAATGTAGCTTAAGTTTCGAGGGGGATCAAGCTAAACGGTTTTACGAGGAGGTGATAGTCCTTGAAAGTCAACAGGAATCGTTGCCACGGAATAATAATGCAGAAAATAAAAAAGTTAAAAATGTAAAACAACGTTCACCTAATCGTGTGGATAAAATTGGTGTACATCAATTATTTAAAGCTGTAGAATTGGGAGATAAAGAGTTTGTTTTTAAATATTTCAATCGAGAAAATGTCAATATAACTGATCAATTTGGCTGGACCCCTTTAATGTCTGCAGCTTATTCAGGTCTTGCAGGAATTGTCAGTTTTTTATTGGATCTTGGTGCTTCTGTTAAGGCACGAGATAAGTCCGGATATACAGCGATTGATTTGGCGGGTAAAAAAAATAATACCGAAATCATTAGTTTGATAAAACAAAAATCACGCAAGTACAAGAGAAACGTAACGAAAGACAGTTTAGTTCACAATGGTGACAAGGAAAGTAAAAAAGAAATAAAAAATACTAAATTCTATTGCGATGTATGTAAAATGGAGTGTACTGACTCATCTTTACTCAACCATGAGTCTTCTATAGTACACTTATTTAATACTAATCCAAAAATACGGGATACTTACTATGGGATACCAAAATGCAATAGAGGATATCAAATGCTTTTAAACAGAGGTTGGGATGAGGAAGGTGGCTTAGGACCTTCCGGGGAAGGTCAACAGTACCCTGTAAAAACTGTTTTGAAAAGAGATCGCAAGGGATTAGGACAGTCAGAGAAAAAAGTTGCAAAAGTTACACATTTTAATCCAAGAGACGTTAATGCTGTTAAAAGTGTATACAGAAATTCGAGAAAAACATTCACTAAAAGAGACAGACAAAAACAATTGAGTAGGGATGCAGCAAAAACTAGAGCTTTGAGAGAAGCTTTATCGTAATGCAGACTTAAATGTAATTTATGTTTCCTTTTGAGAAAAACTTTACAAATTTCATGAGTCTACTTTAATTTATAAACTATTTATGTTATACTTACAGAGCATGAATGAGGACCAGGAAATTTTGGACTATTTTCAAAAAATTGAGGCAAAAGGGCTAGAAATTTTGACTGACAGACAAGAAGTCGTTGCCCTTGACAAAAGAAGAAATGATGACAGAATGGGTATGAGAGCTTTACAAAAACAAAATCATGACAAAACATGGATGACAGTTGGTCCAATACTATTAAAAATGCCAGCAAAAAAGGCAGAAGAACTGCTCAAAGAAGGTTTGTTCTATTTAATTTAATTGATTATGTTATAATATTGAAAACCAAAAATAATGCAACAAACCTCTCACACAGACCAAAAACAGTGTGATATAGAAATAAATAAGATAAGGAGCGATTTAAAAGTAAAAGTAAATGAACTGCGAGATATAGAGCACAATCCACCAGTCCCTGGACTTATGCTCAAACCCATGTCAAAAACAGAAATGGCAGCAATGAATCAAGTGATGGGAAAAAGTCCATAATTATATTATTTATAGAAACATTTATTTCAAGTTATTGTAAGTAAAAATATAAATTTTATAAAAAAATAAATATACCTTTCTACAAAATCAATCTCTGGCATTAGCTATATGATTCAACTGGTCTACGTACCACTTGGGTAAAAATGACAATTCTGAAGAGCTAGGTAGCATTTGCATTTCAATTTCATCTTTAAGTTTATACTCAAACTTATAAATGCATTCATTGTAGTCTCTGACAACAACAGTTTTGACATGATTCAAGAAATCGTTGCAAAAATTCAAGCATTCCGATGCATTCCAAAAATTCTGTAAAAAAAAAAAAATTTGTTTCAAAAAGTTGTACGTTTTTTCCAAATTTGAGTTGGACATGAATTTCTATTTACTTTAGCTAGTTTTGGCATGCTAGACACTTTTATGTCTTCTAATTTACATACTATGCCACGCTCTGTTCTGTTACCACAAATCACATTGTCAATTCCAACTAAAAAGCTTTGACACCACCACTTTAATAGTTTCCTTTTGTAATTATTGTTTTGCCACTCGGTTCTTATAATTTTGTTTGTTTTGAGCTCAACAAACTTTATTTTCTTCCAATCAACTGGCTCTGCCACAATATCTTGAGAACAAATTCCATCCATTTCCGCTCCAAAAACCAACGCATGTTGTCCTAATTTAGATGAGAAGAGACAGCAAAACTCTTCAGCCTCGTTAACTGGCTCTTTTACATTAGGAGACGCATTGGGAGAGTCTTGAGTACAAAAACATTGATTATTTAATGGGTAAGTGATTAAATAATTTACTCTTTGTACCTGTAAGAAGGTACTGTTCAAACTTAAAACCCCACGACATGAACTTGAGATCCCTGTCCGTCAAGTGGGCATTTTTTAATTTTTGTTCGTCATTGTCAAACGCACATAAGTAAATAGTTCCATGAAATTTTGCCGCACAAATGATCCAGCCATCCCTACTTTCGCAAGGAGTAGTACAGATTTTCGTCAATAGTCCTCTAAAGCACACGAAATCTGGTTTCAACCTAAAAAACGTACATTACAGATTACATATTATAAAAGGATTGAGAAAACAAAGAGAAAACAGATTTTCAAAAACCCAACAATCTATCTTGTCCGGGATTAGCTCTGATCGAGCCATGATTATTCGAAATCCATCTCAACAGAAAATCGATTTTTTCATTCAAATCCTTGGGCTTCCTAACAACTTTGTTTATCCCGGCATCGAGATCAAAATGAACTTGTTTACCGTATTGATCGTAATAATATTTCAACTGAACTAGATCCTGCGAGTACTCGCGTTCTCGCCCGGTCAAACTAAAATAACCAACGACCTCGGGCTGATTAAATGATGGAAAATTACGGCTTCTGTTCTCTCGAATGGGGAAACTCATCTTATTTTCTTTCACGAGAAAGTCTTGATTCTTATTTCATGAATCGTCACGTTGTTTGAAAAGCACAGAATAGAAGAGGGCGAAACAAAGATAAAAAAAAAAGGTTAGAATTCATCTGCTCTCCCCGTGTTATATATTTTACAAAAGAGAGGGTGTGCGCGTCTGTTCGTTGCGAGAGACGAAAATGTGTGGGGAAAACCAGTCTACGTAACAATGAACTCATGAAGGTGTAAAAATAAAGTTACAAAAAGAGGCGAACGTTGTTGGCTTAAACTTTTATCGCTTCGATCTTATACTTACGAAGCCTTTGTTTCAGTATAAAAAAATTATAATAAAACCTGAAAGGAAATTTTTCGAAATATTGCAAAATAGTGTTGAAACGACGATAAATAATATTATGAATTAAAAAAAAACTCTACAATAAGATTTGTACCTTGGACAAAGCTATACCCGATGTATTTAATTCTATATAAATTATTATTTTCTGAACGTACGAAATGCGTAAAGCATATATACCCTTCTAATTATTAAAAAAGTGCAAAACGTCACTGCGAACCAGTGACAAACACAATATTGAAAAACTGGAAATATTTTAACAATAAAAATCACGTTTGCTGACAAAATTTGTGTAGTATTCCACGTATTTTGATAAGGAGAGTTTTATACGTATGATATACCTGTACAGCACCTCCTCGTAATAAAGGCATTAAATTTTCGCCAAAAAACGTTTATTAATTTAAAAGGTAGTATCAATAAAAATTGTATTGTACTTTTTACATGATTATAATAATATACTAATGATAATCATTTGATTATATACTGATCTGCCAACGAATCAGACCATTATCTTATTGTTCTACAAAAGGCAGAAAAAAAATCGTGTCGTTGATCAGTAGTAACGCGAGAAAATTTTCTCAAATAAACCTCACACGGGCGCGAGCATATTAATACAATCTCTGTACAACGTGGCAGGACTGCTGGGACAATCCCATCGTGCACGCCGGGTGATGAGCAACACGCGTATATATATATATATATGCGCGCTGCTCCCAATTCATGCTACCTCTGTACACCTATGTAAGCCAAGACGTGATGTATACCTGTATTTCCATTTTTTTTTTTTTTTTTCATTTCTTTTCCTCGTAAGGCACGTCCTTGATGCGAGGGGTGTGCCCTGGGCGCACCCTTAAAACGGAAATCGAAATTACGGCGCGCGCGCGTGTTCTCGCACGATGCACGAGGAGACGCAAACAAAAACCGCGGGGAGCTAGAAAGCAGCAGCAGCAGCTCTTTTGTTCGACAAAAGTTCGTGAATCCAACGGGCAAAAAAAAAAAAAAAAAACGAAAGAAAGGGAGGAAAGGAGACAATACGTTCTTTTTCTCGCGCCGAGGGTTGCGTTGCAGAGAGAGGGTGCACTAATATCTGGGAAAAATAATTTTCGGATTCACGTGTTGGGAAAAAGAAAAAGAAGAAAAAAAAAAAAAAAAAAAAAGATGGGAAACAAGGTGGTGACTTTTACCGAAGAGCAGCTCGAGGATTATCAAGACTGCACGTATTTCACGAGAAAGGAAATTTTAAGGTGTGTGTGTGTGTGTGACGGACGTTACAACTTGCGATGGTACCGATTATCGTTATTATTTTTTTTTCTTTTATAACGTGATCACAAGATGAGAAACAAAAATTATGATGATGATTTCGATGTTTGTCAGAATTCACAAGCGCTTCCGAGCTATGGCCGATCCTGGAATGGTTCCGTGCAGCATGACTCAAAATGAAGCCGCGACCATACGACTGCCGCTCGATTACCTGTCGAGGATACCCGAATTGAAGGTATATACTTATACCTCAAACATTCCTCCTTTTTTTTTCCTCCCCTGTCTTATTTTATTACAATTATTGTTGTATCGTTTTCAAACAACAATATCTTCGCCCACGCACGTTGCACCGTCAGGTGTATATAAAAATCCCGAAAAGTGAAGGCGCGAGAACATTTATTATACGTACCGAAAAATAATACACATTTTTGCTTTTCAGCGTCGGCGTGATTAATTATTCGCGAGCAGTTACCCCGACGGCGTTGAGAGGAAATTATTTTAATTGTTACAGGATTATCTCGAAACCCGTGGCGTTTCTTTTTTCTTCATTTTCTTTTCTTAAGACACCTCCTCCAGCTTTTTTTCAAGTGTATATATCGACTAGTCTGCTCATTCCATTGTTGATGACTTGAGCTTACTTAAAACTTATGTAAACACCTGCAAATACTAAGCAGAGCTATTCTCCGCATTTTTTTTTTTTTTTAAGAGTAACAGGTAGGAAAGGCTCGCACGAGCGTGAGCGGGAGTCCCGCGCGTACAGTCTCGTCCAAAAGTTCACGGGATACCTCGAGAGATTCGGTAATTAAATTTTAATTCATCGACTTTTTCCTTTACGCCGAATTTTGCCGCGCAAAGGCCCGCTTTGTTTATATAAATCCTATATGTATTTTTACAAGTGCGAAAAATCACGCTTTTCCAGATGAACAACACAAAAAACTATTTTCTTAATTTTACGCACGGTTTTTGATGAACATAATTCTAAGACGCAATACAAAAAAAAAACAACAAAGACCTTCTCGAAAGGGCAAACGAGTAAACAACCAAAAACGTAAATATTCTCCCATACCGGAGACATCGTAACGGTTAAAAAGACCGACGAGTTTACACGTGTGAGAACCACACGCATCACGTGTAGGTATATATGCGTACGTATTTGAATGCGAGCCCACATATTGTGTTGTGCCCACCGTACAATGATAATTTACCAAGCGGTACCCCGTTATATATACAGTATATAGGTACACACATCATAATAATTATAGTCGTAGTAAGAAAGTGGCGGGTACAATAACCCAAATTAAATAAAAGCGTAAAAATGAATGGTTTCAGGAAAACCCGTTCAGGGAACGAATCGGCCGGGTGTTCGCGAGGAACAGCCTGGAGCAGGGCCTGGCGTCGTCGGGAGCCGAGGGAATATGCTTCGACGACTTCCTCGAGATGATGTCCGTGTTTTCGGAGCACGCGCCTCGCGACCTCAAAGTCTTCTACGCCTTCAAAATTTACGGTAATCAACAAAGTTATTAAATATACAACGGTCAAAAGTATATTACACACCCGTACAACATTGCCGTCGTTGTTAACAACTCCTCGCGCGTGTTCGCGTAAAAGTGCTTTCTCCGTTGCCATCGTGCACATACACCGTTGATGCGTATACGAAAACGAAAGAGAGAGAGAGAGAAAAATCGTTCTAATGGGGCCTCTCACGCGATAGTCGAGAGAATCGATGACGCTTTTTCTTTCGTGCCCCAAGTTGTGTACCTATAGGTACCATAAAACACGCTCTATCCTCGATTTCGAAAGCGATTCTCCGTCGCGCGCGCGCCTTCCCCCCCCCCGGTCTTGCATTACTACGCCTCCTTAATTCAAGCTGTAGCATTTTTTTCAATTTCACTTCCTTCCAAGCTCATTTTGTCGGAGCCTAAACTGTTTCGCTATGCATACGCGAACGATGTATAAACCGGCAAAGTAATTTATGGTTCCGGCCAAAGATATGGGAAGGAAAATATGTTTGGGGGGGGGGGGCTCCATTGGCATTACAGCACGTGGCAATAATTGTTGCAGATTTCGACGAGGACGGTTTGCTCGGGATGAGCGACTTGCAGGAGACGTGCCGGCAGCTGGTGCACGGGGGCCTGACCGACGAGGAGGTCGACGTCATTTGCCAGAAAGTGCTGGAGGAGAGCGACATAGACGGCGACGAGGCCCTCAATCCCATGGAGTTCGAGCACGTGGTCACCCGGGCCGCCGACTTTTTGTCCAACTTTCACATACGCATCTGAACACGAGGAACAAGGGACTCGAAAATCCAGAATCAATATATTTTATACCTAATATATACCCACGTAGAATCGAGTCGCACACGGACAAAACCGATCTCTCCTCCTATACAGTGGACGTATCTTTTCTCTCTCCCATCTCATCGTTTGGACCGCGTCTAATTCTCGCTCGGTCTCTCATCTGTATGTAATCATTCCAAATGACTCGTGGAAAATGTACAACATAACGCAACGCCAGCGACGATGCCTCAAGTCCTCTGTAAATCTGCCCGGTGCGATCTTGTACGGTTTCAAGTGTTTGTACAATATATACACGCACACTCAATGGCGTTGATAATTTACTTTTTGTTTAAAATAAAAAGGAAAGGAAAAAAAAAAAAAAAAGAAACTACGCATGCATATATAAATTCATGCGAGTGGAGTCAAAGGAGAGCGAGATTTCCTTTCTCTGTCGGGGAGATTCGTACACATGTATATTTTATATTCACATACGGAAAGAAATAAAAGTATAGGTATAGAAGAAGGCGAGGGATGCTGGATGTACGGGCTGGCAGGGAATATATACATATGTATACATGTATGTAGGGAGAAAAGAGACCGATATTCTTCTTGGGTATAAGATAATATACCTCGTCTCTCTGCCTTTCCTCTTTGGCTGATGTATACTTGTATGGGTGTACATACATACAAGCCTTGGTCGCGCACATTCGATTTGCGAATCGTGATGTTTTCAAGGTTAAAAGAGAGCCCCTGAGGTGGATGGAAGAAGCTCGGGCCCGCTTTGACCCCACCATGACCCCCCATCAGGTATACGTGGTGCGCAGGGCTCTCGTATATGCATGAAGGACGAGGAAAAAAAAAAAAAAAAAAAAAAACACCATCATACCGATGATGATGATGATAATAATTATGATGAGCGGAATATATATAACGATTTCGCGTTGTCCCGCACACAATGTGTATACTTGATAAACTCTTGCCCGCGCCCAAGCGGATATCTTGGATTTTGATGTGCCATATTTATAGTCGTTGAAACGCGCGTGTGGAGCTGGTGCACACACGTGTTGCATATTATGCACCTCTGCACCATTGCACTGCACTCTATATAAGTATACAGACCATGGTGCGCGGGAGACACATAGAGAAAGAAAAGATCGAGATGCTGAAAAAGTGAGCGAATATAATATAAGTGTATATATGTATATAATGTATGTTCCCATCTTGTGTATACGGTCTACCTATAACTCTCGAGGCGGGGTATAATATACAAAAGCTGCAGGAGCACCGAGAACCGCCTCGTATCTAAGCGAGTCTCGCTCCGAACCAAGGCCAGCCGGTCGCTTGACCAGCTCTCTTTCCTCCTCCTCCACCTTCTTCTTCTTCTCCTCTGCTTGTGTGCATCAAGCAAGAGAGTATAACGCATACACGTGTAACACCGATTCTTTTGGCCTCTCTTCTTCTTCTGCACCGCATATATATAGGTATCCTTCGCGCGGTCCTCCGAGAAGAGGAGAGAAAAACATTCCTCTTCTTCTTCTTCTTCTCCTCCTCTGCAGCAAAGGTACATAATTATATACCTATACCTACACACTCCGTACAGCCCTGCGTATACCTTCTTATTCTTCTTCTCGATCGCCGTCTTCGGAGACCGGTACCTATATACCTACACACACCTACCATATAAATGTCCTCTCTCTCCCACTACACGCCCGCGGGGCCCTAACGAGGAGCCTCCGATGCACGGAATGGAGCCAAGAGAGGAGACATCGCATGTACACAGGTATACCTGTGTATAAACAGGAGATAGAGAGAGAGAGAGAGAAAGAGCGTGGGCGTCGAACGCTCGTCAACGAAACGGGAGAACGAGGGAGAGAAGGAGCGATAAAACCAGGTATATAGCCCGTTTCTCACAGCAGCTCTCGTCGTTATATGGAGGCCCCAAACGGACCCATTTGCATACACGTTCGTATACATAAATATGCATGCGTACGGGACGAATTTCGCTTCTATATATGTATACCGGATGGAACCGGCGCGTAGGACAACCGGCATGTACTGTTTTTGTTAAAAAAGAAACATGTATTATATATGTAATGGACCAGTGGGCACGTGGTGGGACGAGAGAAGCCCCAAGCACGTATATTTTATTGTAAGCGTGTAAGATTTTTCGGAGGAGAGACGAAGAAGAAGAAGAAGCCGAGGGGGAAAAAAAAAAGAGCGCGTCTCTCTCGAAAAGAAGAAGGGTTTCGAAAAGGAGGCGACGGTGGCCAGCGGAATGCTGCTTGACCAGGCGCACGAGAGAGGCCCAGTCCCTCGTTTTTCTCCTTCTCCTCCCCCGCTGGCAGTGTGTCTTCTTCTCTCGTTTGCGCGCGCCCGAGTAAGTATATACGTATATATACAAAAGAGGGCCCCAAAGCCAAAGAGGCCCCTTTTACACATATACGAGAGAGGAGACTCGAGGTAGGTGGGTTTATAGGTGGAACGAACGTTGGTTGGGGTGCAGCGTCCAAACGACTCGAATGTTCTTCTCTTCTCGCGCTATCGCGCGCCCGCCATCGGTCCCCTCTCCTTTCTCCGGCGCGCTCCCTTTACCTGATCCACCAGGGGCCTCGTTCTCTTCCTCCCCCTTCTTCTTCTTCTTCTTCGCTATACGTGTACCACACACACTTCTGTTCGTCCCTCCAATCATTCCGGGAGAGAAATAAAAGCTTTACAAGGTCCGGATCCCTCTCTTTTTCGCTCCTTTCTGTGATCCATGGTGCTGCAGGAGACTCTGTACATTATATATATATATATATACCTACACGTAAGCAGCACCCAAAAGAGAAAAGGAAATACCTGATGAGCTGCTCGAGAATCCCTACATCCCTATGTGTATAAGTATATATATATGATGATCTTCTCGCCACGTATCTGTGTGTTGTACGTTTAACTGATGCTGGGACCAGCCATTTTATAACTACTCTATAGTGTGTCTCCCGCCTTTCTCTTCTTCTTCTTCTTCTTCTTCATCTTCCTTCGTTCCTTTCTTTTTCCTCCTTCTTCGCTTCTACCTCGTAACGCTCGTTTTCATCGAGACCGGCAGAACTACTTACGCGTTTCGGGCCCGAAATGGCTTTTCGGCGACTTCGGGGTATATGTGTGTATATGAGACTCGAGAGAAAAAAATAATGGACCCGACTGTACTCCCCCGAACCATACCGAGCGCGCCCGTGTTATGTATATATGTATGTATGGTTGCCAAGATAACGATCTCGCAGGTAAAATGTTGGGTCCAGACGCACTGCGCCCCATGCACGAGAAAAAGAGGGAGAGAGAGCCGAAAGAGCATCTGTACATTACGTAGGTGTATAATGCACGTGCATTCTCGGGGCACAAATATTTAGGTTCGGGCTTTCCCAGGAGGGCTCGTAGCTTTTCCGTATGTACCTACAAACAACAAGTGGCTGACGGTATACTTATGTAGGATTATACATATGTGTGTGTGTGTGTGTGTGTGTGTGTGTGTGTATAGGTGCCATTATGTTATCGTGTTGTATATAGGTATGCGGTAAGCTGACCGGCCGGCCGTCCAAGTGTATAATATATAAGCGCGGAGATCGGTAGCGGGTTTCGACTTTATAGCTTTGGAAACTCCGTTTTTTTTTTTTTTTGGTTTTTTTTTTTTTTTCTATACATGAGCACGAGAAAAGTCGAGTTTTATTCAGGTATACACATAAGTATATAATATCGGCAATTCGTGTCGTTGTCACCGCGCAACTTTCTTTCTCTTCCTTGTGTCCGCGTGTGGCGTCGGTATATACATTTAGCCGGCTTGCCCTTCATGCATGTACACACGAGATCGAGATCGTACGTATATGTATATATACCGTACGTCGTACATTTATACGTATACACCTTTGTTCTCCTTTCTCGCATATATATGGGTGTGTATGTACCCATGAGAGAGAATTAAGAGTAAGAGGGGTTGGTTGGTTTGTTGCTTTTTGGTGCACACACGCATCTACATAACCGGTAATTCGGCTTCATTGCGCTTCTCCCCCTTACTCCGATATATATAATACTCCCTCGAGATCGGCGCTCGGAGATGCTTTTGCTGCTCTCTCTCTCTACACACATATATGTGCACGGCTGCCGTGCCGGCGGGAATCGTCATTATTACGTTCTCCTCCTATACCTACCTACCCACCTACCTTGTGAACGCACACACACACACACATATTGTTCATCTCTCCCTCTCGGCAAAAGTTATAACGACTTCCACAGAGCACGCAAGGAGAAGAAGAAGAAACAAGATGAGAAGACGAAGAAGAGGAGCTGCTCTCTTACCTGTACCCTGTACGTTTTACCTTTTTTTTTTTTTTTTTTTTCCTTTTAACCGCGCGGTTAACGCTCAGGTAGGTATATACGTGGTGCACACGCGAGAGTAGAGCGTAGGCGCGCACAATGACATCATCGCGCGCACACATCGGGTTAAGTAGGTAGGTATATACCTACCTACGAGAGCAACGAGCATCAGCAGACTCGTTTTCCTCGCTCGTTCTACCTATCTACCTCTACTATCTTTTTAACCGGCGCAGCCACCTCACAGAGAGAGCAGTTTCGAGTCGGAGCCAAGGATTTTACCTACTACGTGTGTGAGTGCATTTACGGTGCGAGGAGTTTTTTTTTTTTTTTTTCAGCGCGTTCGTCAAGTCCCTCTTTCCCGCGGAGACTTCAATTGCGGCGAACGCAATGATATAAATTTTTCCTTTTTTTCCGTCTGGATGCTGTTATACTCATGCAAAGAGGGTTGCTGCACTCGCTCGCGTCAAGGGAGGAGGTTCCAACTATCATAGCCCGCTCTCTTTTTCCTTTTCCCTCCTCTTCTTCTCTGCACCCTATTATACATGCATATATACATACAAGATATGGGTCTACGAGCAACCTCTGGTATTCTCTCACGCACAATGTATATATACGTACTCGGGCAGGTGTTCCCTCTTTTGGTCTATTTTTCTCCATAGGTATGAATATATATGCCATGTGTGTATAGTCAAGGGGATCTGACCCCTTAACGGTTTCTCATTCAAAAAATTCCAGTGCAGGGGCTGATGGTGATGGCAGGACCTTGCTTTGCTCGCTTCCCACTCTCTCTCTCTCTTTTTCTCTTCGCTCTGCAATCGTTCTTTTCGCCGAAGGGATTTTTGTGTTCCACTGCACGTGTATAATATACATGTATACTTAGGCCCCTGCACCCCACGAGAGAAACTGACGAAAAT